CATGAATGGCCTATATTTCTTGTTCCTTTGTATGAAAATAATTTTTGTTGAAAACACATTCATAATAACATATTGTGGTAACTCTAGAAATTATATTTGTCCCCCTCCCAGCGAGGGTTTTTATTGTTGCTGCTTGTATATTTTAGTAACTTTCCTGAACTAATTCTCGAATACATTCTTACGTATGTGTAGCTACTGAGTTGTCTTAGCTACTGAGTTGTCTTTTCAATGAGCTTAGTTATCTAATGATAAGATAGAATTGAACTTAAATACCTGCAACTAATTATCTTCATGTCTGCCAAGATACTCTGTGTATAGGTGAGACATACTTTCAACTGTCCATCAGTTTACAACTCTGCCTAGCTTTCACTTCCAGGTTATGTAGAGTCTCAAGAGTCAGTCATTTTGAATAGGGTTTCCCAGGTCCTTCCTGGGCATGCCACAGCCCAGCACATGTGTGTGTCTTCTAGATCCATGGGACTATGTTAGAACATTTCAATTCCCCTGTAGACATCTCATTCCCCAGATTTTGATTTTTGGCAAGCATTTTGTTTAATAAACAATGAGTTCCATATAGGTAAACCTTTATTTCTACAGTGTAAACAAGGGGAAATATTTAAGAAGGGAAAGTACACTAAGTAGCTTCAATTTCCTAATGTATAACCCTACATTTCAGGTCATTAGGCTGCAGAGAGATTGAGAGCAGAACTTGTCTCTCATGAGTGTATTCAGTGTGATTCTTAAAGGCACAAGAACTTGATGCAACATAGCCAGGTGGTAGGATGATGGAAACTTCCCAAACCACCCTTATCCTTGAGTCAGCTGCTATATCTGACCCTTTCCAGGCACAGTCTAGACTGGATCATTATCCAGGAAATTCAGGGCAGATAGAACTTTGCTTAGCCCTCTAGGGAGAGCCTCCCAGATCTAGAGGCACTGTATTCTCTATCCCAAGAGAGTCTTGAGGGCAGGGAAAAGTTTTAACTTTCTGCCTAACACTGCCAAATACCCACTCTGCCCCCTTTAGGAGCCTCCCAGCTCCATCTCCACCTGGTACCCACTCACAGTCTGGGTCTCAGGCCTAAATCTCCTAGGGAAACCCACTCTTCTCGAGACATAATGAATCAACAGAATTGTCATTGTATATCGAAGTTACCATAACTGTTGCATGTTTCAGATGTGCTGTGGGAGTCAGGTCTCTGTCCAGTGACGAGTTGACTAAATGTCTGTGATCCCAGGTCATATTTCTCTTGGCATTATCTTTTTCTCCCTTGGTAAATTGAAAAGAAGCAAAAACCATTTTTTTAAGAACAGAAACCTGACTTACCTATAGAGAACAACCTTGGCCAGTGACACACAAACTTGGACTCCCTTTGAAGGACTGATATGATTATATGTGTATTTACATATGATTACACATGTTGATTATATGTCTCCTTACATGCTTTATGTCTCTCTTTCATAGCCCAGTTGTGTGTTTCAGTGTTTGACACTAGCTTGTACTTCTAATTAGCATTATCATTGTACAAATGCTATTCCTGGCTTGATTTGCACCTCGATGATTTATAAATAATACAAATTGCTCAAATTTCTTCCTAGGTCAGTTCTTTTGAACCATATGGCCAGAGACCATGCTTTCAACATTGGGTTGCCAGACAACATTGTAAACTGCAATGAATTTCTATGTACATTACAGAAAAGACTTGACAAGTAAGTACTTTTTAATGAAATATAATCCAAAATTATTTTAACCTGTTATGAATTTTTTTAATTAATTTGATAGCCAGAAGTAATTAAAGAAATGGAATTTCCTCATTTCTCATGTTGAAGGAGTTCTCATTTTGTGTGACTGCTATTTTACCTAACTCATATTGCTTTTCATGATTTTTTTTTAAATTCATTTATTTATGCATACAAGAACTGGGGTACATGCTGGAGGTGGGGGGGGGCGGGGTGAAAGGATTCACCAGAGACAGAGTGGGGAACAAAACAGGCAGAATGACTGAAATACACTGCTGAGGGGAGGAGCGGAAGAGTTAGGAGAGGTCTGCTGTGCCATGTGGATCACCTCCCTGGCCAGGGATCGAACTCATGCTGTAGTGGCTGTGGATAGCTTCATAGGTTGCATCTTAACCCCTCACACCACCAGGGAGGCCCTGCCTTTCATGAATTTTTAAATAAAACTTGTCATATATATCAAACAATGTATGTCCTACATAAGAGACAGTATGCTCTATAGGATATAACGAATACACTCAATCCTCAGCCTCAGAAATAAACATTATTAATTCCTTTGACTCTCCCAATATGTCCTTCCTCATTAGTATTTCCCCAGAAACCACTATTTTTAGTTTTGGACTTTATAATTCCTTTACTGTTCACTATCCTTTATCTACAAGTTTAGTAAATAGTCAAGTTGTATGTTATTCAGCTTTATGTGAAGTGTAACATACTATTTGCATTCTTTCACTGGTTAGTTTTTATTCACATTTTCTCCTAGGTCATATTCTGGCAATTTGGGGTATCTAGAGCTTTGCTTATAGAAATAAGAAAGGAAATTCTCTTCACCAAAATGACTTTCAAAAATCAGTCTACTTTTCTTTCTATATTTAAATATAATTCTAAGGAATGTCATTTCTCAGCTCAAACTATCTGGAGCAGTAATACTTAAAAAAGAAGTATCAAGGAAATATCAAGTGATACAGATAATTATTAAAACTTCCAAATTCAGATTTTGGTATCAGCACCGTGTTTAAACAAGGTCCTTCACACTTTCATTAAATGATCCTTTATTTGTAAAATAAGACCAGATGTGCCTTCTACTAAGAGTATCAGTAATGAATATCCCTAATCAGCTTGTCACCCATACACTGTTTACAATAAAATAATGTAGTTTATTCCCCTGGCATAAGAAATAGTTGAAAGGTGTTTAATAGAGATGAAAAATTTGAAAATGAAGCAACCACTAAAAAGATTACACTTACTTGTGTGAGTCCAAAAAAGTGGAATTCTAGTGAATGTTGGCTAGAAGTTACAGGCAGTATCAACTCTTATGAAAAAGACTTTTTTTTTTAAATCTGTTTAAAACTAGTTGGTAATCACTACCCCATTAGGCTAGTCAGTGGAGATATTAGCACAGAAGGTACATAAGAATAAGATAGTGGGCCTTCCTGGTGGCACAGGTGGTTGAACACCACACTGTGAAGCTGTCTGCAGCCTCTGCAGCATGGGTTCGATCCCGGTCAGCCAGGGAGAAACCCACATGGCACAGCAGGCCTCTCCCATCTCGCCCGCTGCTCCCCTCAGCAGTGTATTTCAGTCTGTCTGCCTCTTCTGTTCCCAGCTCTGTCTTTGGTGAATCCTCTCAACCTCCTGTGCATCTGGCCTGTACCCCAGTTCTTGCATAAATGAATAAATCTTTTAAAAAGAAAAAAAAGAAGTTAGTAATAACAGCTACTATTTATTGATCATTTCTGTGATAGAATTTTATTCATATATACATAATTGCACATCTATTCACATGTATAAGTTATATATGTATATGTGTAAGTTATTACTAAAATTCCTTTAAATATAGGTATTCTTTCATTTCGAGATCAGAAAATGAATGGTAACAGAACAAGTAACTTGACCAAGTCCACAGCTAACTCCTTGAGCTAGGAACCAAACCCTGCAAGGCAGCTCACAGAATATATCAAACCATGGACTAATTAATCATTATACTTAATGAAAGCCACCAATTTTAGTTATTATAATTTTTGTAGATGATATCTACATTTTCATTTTTAGAATAGATAATTTGATAAGTAAAGCACCAGGTTAATTTTTGGATATTAGCTGTCTTTGTCTTAATTTTAACTGAACAACCAAATTAGCCAACTACAAAATAAACCACAGCATGCATTCTATAAAGCCAAATGAATAAAATAAGAGGGATTATTTTTTTCAATTTTTATTTTCCCCATACAATTGCAACTCCCACCTTTCCCCAACACCCCCACCCCCCCCCCGCCATAGGGTGTCTCTGGTTCATAGTTTTTTGTTGATTTTGATTTTTCTTTCTTATTGTTTAAAATAAGAGGGATAATGAGAAAGATTTCAAAACTCACTTGAAGAGTCTATTATGACCTAAGATGAATAAATATAAGACTTAGGATAATAAAAGACTATTGCAGCAGCTTTCCAAGAGATATTTAATTTATCAGTGTTTATATATTTCTTTTAGCTTGCAGTGCTTATACTGTGAGAAGACCTTTCGGGACAAAAATACACTTAAGGATCACATGAGAAAAAAACAGCATCGTCGGATCAACCCTAAGAACAGAGACTATGACCGATTTTATGTCATCAATTACTTGGTAAGATTTTCTTTTCATCTTTTTATGGCCATCTAATATTTTTAAAGCAGTTAGTATGTAAGTTAAGATGTAATTGAGGGATACTTCCAATCAGTGAGTAACTTTAAAATGATTGGTTTACAAAGCATAACTTGATTTGGTTTGTCTTTAATTTGCCAGATGTTCATATACTAAAAGTCTCTAGAACTCAAAGTGATCTTGACAAAAATTTAAAAAAAAAAACAAAAACAGAAAGTCTTTGCCTATCCCCCTCACTCTCTCTGACTTATTGTATTATCTTTTACCTTGAGGCCAAACACTTATATAGTATTCAAAAACACTTGTTGAGCCCTGGATGTCCTACTAGCTAGATTATTCTTTAAAAAACAATCTCTTGGCTCTCTTCCTCTATCACCATTAAAAATAAATCCTCCCCTTCCTCACAAAAACTTTATCATTCTATTTAGCCAACTTATTTTTAATGGTAATCTTAAAGAAACCAAGTCAATTTGCTGGGCAAGAAGACTTTTATTTGTTTGGCTAATAGGATGGAATAAGGGTTTACTATGTCAAGAGTTTAAAATATATTGAAAACTTTCCTTGCACAGGAACTTCATTCCACCTGCTGGCCTCTGTAGATTACAGTCTCTTTTTATTAAGAAGAGGTATTCATTTGGAGGTAAATGTCACAAGGAGACATTTGGAAATTTAAGAGATAATTTTTAATTGACACAGCGACTGTGGAATACCAATGACCCTACCTCCAGTCTACAAGGAGGGAAACTACTTGTGTAAAGAGAGGGATTCAATAACTCTCCAGTGAGATTACATGTGAGGAGCTCTGTTTCTGTGTATTTTAAACAAATGAAAATTGTTTCTCCCTTAATATGAATGAATTAGAATCCAAACCCACTGACCACAGAAGGCTAATTGAATATAGTCAAACATTTTATCTATTGGGCAGAAATAAGCATCTCCTGGCTCGTTTTAGAAATTTCTGATGTAGGGTAGAATGTTTGTCTGTTCTAACTAATCCTTATAATGTTAAAATAAAATTCTCCTTGAGAAGCAAGTTTAACATGTGTCTGAAGATTGAGTCTGAGAGGTTGCCATGGTTTACTACAAATGTTTTACAACTAGCTAAAGGCAAAGGCAGCCTTTAAGCTCTTCAATCTTTCTTGAAATCACTCAGTCATTAATTCCTTGAGCAAATGCTGCTTCAGGGCCCAGCCCAATCCAATAGGGAAAGGGCTTCAGTGTTAACTCTAAGAAATATTCAACTACTGAAGAAAGCAATGGAAGCAATTTAACAGAACTTCCTTCTGGGGCTCTTAAGCTAATATTCAAGATCTGGGACTAGTGTAACATATATTGCTAGAGGAACATTATATAGCTCCTCTTTTAGAGGATACTTCAAATGGACTGCTCACAACTGGCATCATGTAGTATGACTGTCAAAACTGAAATCATCTCTGAGGGCTAGCTGTCTGTGAAGGCCAGCTGTCTCTAGATGAGAATGCTAGATTATACTGCCCACTGAGTGCCCGGATTTGATGTGGCATGAATCATGACTGGAAAGAAGTGTTCAAGAAAATTAAAAGCTTCAGTGACATATAATATGAAAATGATATCCTTTAGGATAATACTGATAGAAGTATTTTTTTTTAACTAGCAGCATTTGAGTACTTGCCACATGCAAGGCATTTATATTAAATCATTTAATCTTAACCACGTACCTGTGACACAGATTTTAGCATTGTCCTGTTTTATAGGTTATGAGATTAAGGTCTGAGAAGTTGAGTAATTTTTCCAGCTTAGGGGCCTCCCTGGTGGCACAACGGGTTAAGCACCACACTATGAAGCAATCCACAGCCTCTGCAGCACGAGTTTGATCCCCGGCCAGCTAGGAAGCAACCCACATGGCACAGCAGACCTCTCTTGACTCGCCCGTTGCTCCCTTCAGCAGTGTATTTCAGCCAGTCTGCCTGTTCTGTTCCCCACTCTGTCTCTGGTGAATCCTCTCACCCACTGCACCTCTGGCCCGTACCCCAGCTCTTGTATGCATAAATAAATAAATAAATCTTTTTTAAAATTTTTTTTTCCAGTTTACCTAATCTCTTACTTTCCTTCCTTTTTCCCTCAGGTTTACAGTTGAAATAATAATGATATCTGCATGTTAACTTTACATTGAGATTTTTGGTCAAGCAATAGTGATAAAATCATGTTGATCAATTCACTCTCCCTTGTCTAGTCTCTCATAACAAACCAGAAAGGAGCTGACTTTAACAGCTCCTTAAGGGCTCTAAGCTTGGCCTTCTTAGTTCTGTATGCTTTCATCCTGGGGCAAAAGCCAACAACATTAAAAAATTTTTAAACCTGAAATGCGTGGTGGTGCCTTAGCATTTTGGAAATGATGTAAATTTATCTTTAGAAAGGATTGAAGAAGCTAATGAAGACTCTAAAGATGTATACGTGTCCTAAAGTAAAGAGTACCCACAAGAGGCATCACTCTTAGTAGCATTCTAGATTGTTGTAAATAAAGGGCTTAATAACATATAGAATGAGTGTATAAAAGACTTTCCAGATACTAATAGTGGGCAGTTAGAGAAAAATAGTGGGCAGTTAGAGGACCAAAGGTTTCTCAGCGTTCTTTTAGTTGTCTTCTAGCCCCCGTTAATAAAAAATACTTCATGTGATGACTAGGTTCTGCAAGTTTACCTAAGCAATAAATAAAAATGACACTGCATTAATTTTTTAAAGACAAAAAAAAAATTTTAAATGATGAGTGAGACATTCGCTTAATTTCTTTCTCTGAGGAAAAGGGCTGGCAGCAGTGCATGAATGTGGGCAAGAAATGAAAGAACTGTATTAGTCAATGTCTGGACATCCATTGCTCACATTCTCTTCCCCTCAGAAGCAATTTCACTGGCTTCATATATTCTACCAACCTTCAAATGCCTTCCGAGGACAAGATGCTGGTGGAACAGAAAGAAACCAGCAGGCAAACTGGTTGATTTAGTCACCTTGCAAAGAGTTTAAGAGTGTGGTAGGAGAAACACACCTGTAAGCAGTGTAATTTCAACACCTTGTCATGATTTCTACAAAGTTTTTATTTTGACCTTTCCTCCTATAGCAAATATATGCAGTAATTGACCTCTGTTTCAGAGAGAATCTCCAGCGGTGACGGAAGCATCCAGGGTATTCCTAACAGGGTGCACTCAAAGTGAATAAAAGCTGGGACAGCCAAGGGACAAAGACGTTCTTTTTGGCTATCCCCTCAGTTTTGAAATTGACAGGTTCCTTTTTCCTTTGGTGAGATAATTTCCATATTTAATATTTCAGTATCGGTTTTGAGTAACAACACACTTGAAAATACGCTAAAGGTCTTTGCATAGTCTAGATTATCCACTTCAAGTTTTGCTTTATTTTCACACAAACAGAAGGGTTCAGTGCATTGATGGGGTGGCTAAGGTCCCAGGAGGTTCTTGTGCTCAGATTCCTCTACCTCAGAGGACAACAGCCTGCTGGCCATCATCAACACTTCAGCTGCATATTCCTAAGGTGCTAATGTTTCCACCTCTGAGTTTTCTAAAGGGAACTTATTTCTGCAGTGGTTTTACCATTCTTTGATTTAAACTTTTTTATTCTTAAAATATATAAAGCCATTTGTAGGCAAACTGTTTTTCAGAGTTTTGTTGTAGTTCACGTTAATGAAAGAATTTATATTTAAAAACTTCTCTTTCCCTATTTCTATTTTTTTGTGTAAGCATATGTAAGAATGTGTGTTTTGGGGCACAAGGATGCTGGGTCTTTTTTTTTTCCATGTTTTTTTCCACCCTCTCATTGATCATAAACCATCTGATGCAGGGTTTGTGGGGGCGTTCTGAACATCTTTACTGACATGCCTTCCAAAATTTGTTTTTCTTGCATGCTTTGCTTTCGTGATATGATTCATTAGCAAGCACTGTGTCTTAATTTGAGAGTTAGATGCTTTTTTTTCTCTGTGTCTTGAACCCTATGTCATATATTTAACAATACAAGGCAGAGGGCCCTAGGAAAATGTGGGCCACTGTCACATGTCCGTTACTTTTTCCTGATATAGTAATAAACACAGAATTCCCTTTTCCTCTCAAGTGGCAAATGCTTAGTGCTGTATTGCCTAGATAAATCCCTACATGTTGCTCCTAAGTACTGAGAAAGTTGTAAATGATACTTTTTTTTTTTTTTTTTTATAGAGGCATGCTTATTTATTTGTTTGCTGGTTTGTTTGTTTTTTTGTTTATACATGCACTGGGTACAGTCAGAAGCGCGGAGGTGAGAGAATTCACCAGAAGCTGAGCGGGGAGCAGAGCAGGCAGAAGGACCGAAGTACACTGCTGAGGGAGCAGCGGGGCAGGAGAGGTCTGCGCGCCATGCGGACCCTCCTCCGGTGGCCGGGGAGCAGCGGGGATCGAACCGGCGCCGCAGAGGCCGCGGGCAGCTTCGCAACCAGCGCTCAACCGCTGCGCCACCGGGGAGGCCCGATACTTTTGAGTTTGGAAGTTTGACACTGAAAGAAAGCTTTTGTCACTTTTGACTCAAAACATTTATTGATAAGCAACATCTGTCCATATCATTGAGAATGATAATATCACAAATGGCCCATCCTTTAGTAATATCTTACATCCAGAGAGGCCAAATAATGAATTAAAAATTTATTTCATCACCAGCTAACAAGTATCTTGTTGGCAATGTTGAGCACATTCTCAGGTCCATAATGAGGTTCCATACTTCATGATCACTATGGGAAGGACATTATAGAGCCCAAATTAACTGTCTCCACTGACATTATGGTAAATCTTGCTTGTCTGAGTTTATACATCATTTTAGCTGATAGATAATGACAGCTTCAAAAACGTCTCATTAAGTTGATGAGTGATAGATTTTTCCCCCTAAATCTTTTTTTTTTTTTTAAGATTTATTTATTTATTTATTTGTACAGGCACTGGGTACAGTCAGAAGTGCAGGAGGGTGAGAGAATTCACCAGAGCCAGAGAGCAGGGAACAGAACAGGCAGACTAATGAAGTACACTGCTGAGGGGAGCAACGGGCACGGCAGGAGAGGTCTGTGTGCCATGTGGGACCCTCACCCGCGGCCGGGGATCAAACCGGAGTTGCAGAGGCTGTGGGCAGCTTCATAGCCCAGCGCTCAACCACTGCACCACTGGGGAGGCCCCCCTAAATCTTAATGGCACTCATAGTTCTTTGTTTTCAGTTAAATGAATACCTCCCTTGAGAAAAAAAATGTTCACAAATGTTCACAAAAAAATGTTCACACAAAATTCACAAATGAATTTTGGATATGTTCTTCCAAAAGATTATCTGCTTTTTTTTCTTTTTTTGTAAATGACAAAAAAATTTTTGTGACATTGGTTTACAACTCTGTACATAAGTCAGAGGCATAGGATCACACCTCATCAGATTTATGTCAACACACCACACCTAACACCCACAGTTCTCCACCAGGGTCTACTGTGGCCCTTCTCACTTTGCTCTCCTCCCTCCTTTACCTCCTCTCCCTCAGGTAGTCTTTTTTTTTTTTATTTTAATTTTTATATTCCCCATACAATTACAACCCTCTTATTTTTACCCCAAGCCCTCCTTTCCCTGCCCCCCACCCCCCCCATAGAGTGTCTCTTGTTCATAGTTATTTGTTGATTTTGATATTTTCTTTCTTATAGTTATTCTTTTTCCTGGTCCCTTATTTAAGTTTTCTAGATTCCTGCTATGAGTGAGACCATCCGGTATTTCTCTTTTTCTTTCTGGCTTATTTCGCTGAGCATGATCCCTTCCAGCGCCCAACTCAAAATGGATTAAAGAACTAGACATAAGACCTGAAACCATAAAATACATAGAAGGCGAAACACTCCATGATATGCACATCAAAGACATCTTTACAGACACATCACCCAAAGCAGTGATAATGAAGGCAAAGATAAACAGCTGGGACTACATCAAATTAAAGAGCTTCTGCGCAGCAAAAGAGACAATAACAAAAACAAAGAGAAACCCCACCGACTGGGAGAACATTTTTGCACACAACACTAATGATAAAGGACTGATCACAAAAATCTGCAAAGAGCTGATGAGACTCAACAACAACAAAGAAAATAATCCAGTCAAAAAATGGGCAGAAGAGCTAAAAAGAAATTTCTCTGAAGAGGAAATGCAAATGGCCAACAGGCATATGAAAAAATGTTCAGCATCACTTGCAATCAGGGAAATGCAAATCAAAACTACCATGACATACCATCTTACACCAGTGAGAATGGCACATATTAAAAAAACTAGCAACAACAAATGTTGGCGAGGTTGTGGAGAAAAAGGAACTCTCCTGCACTGTTGGTGGGAGTGCAAACTGGTCCAACCACTATGGAGAGCTGTGTGGAGATTTCTGGACCTACTAAACATAGAGCTTCCATATGATCCAGCAATCCCTCAGGTAGTCTTAATTCTACAGTCAGATCGCTAGGGTTTGTTACAGGTTTGGTTTTGTCTGACTTTTGTTTCATTTCTCTGTATTTCACATGTAAGTGAAACCATCCAGTATTTGTCTTCTCCTCGTTTATTTCACTTAGCATTATATCCTCCAATTCCTCCATCCGTGTTATCATAAATGGGAAAAGTTTATTTATTTTTTTTTTTTTTGGTAACTGAATAGTATTTCATTATACACACACACACCACATCTTCCTAATCCACTCATCTGCTCTTAGGCACTTAGGTTGTTTGCAGTTTCCATAACATAACTGTTTTAAGTGATGCTGCAATGAGCATAGGCATGCATAAATTTCTTCACATTAGTGTTTTTGCATTCTTCGGTAAGTGCTTAGGAATTGAATTGCTAGATCCTATGGTAGATCTATTTTTAATATTTTGAGAAATCTCCATATTGTTTTCCACAGAGATTGGGCCTCTCTACATTTCCACCACTAGTGTATGAGGGCTTATTTTCTCCACATTCTTCCCAGCACTTGTTTCTGGTCTTTTTAATATGGACCCTTTTCACTGGTGTGAAATGGTATCTCATTGTGTTGTTTTTTTTAAAAGATTTATTTATCTATGCATACAAGATCTGGGGTACAGGCCAGAGGTGTGGAGGGTGAGAGGATTCACCAGAGACAGAGTGGGGAACAGAACAGGCAGATAGACCAAAGTACACTGCTGAGGGGAGCAACAGGCGAGTCAGGAGAGATCTGCTGCACCATGTGGGTTGCTCCTTGGCCGGCTAGGGGATCAAACTCGTGACACAGAGGCTGCAGACACAGCTTCATAGGTTGCGTCTTAACCCCTTGCACCACCAGGAAGGCCCCTCATTGTGGTTTTGATGTTGGTAAATGTTAATGAAAAATTGCTCATTAAGTGCCTGTTAGCCATTAGTATGTATTTGAACAAATGTCTTTTTAGCTCTTCTGCCCACTTTTTGATTGATTTATTTGTTTCCTTTTTGTTAAGTTGTATATGTTCTTTATGTATCTTGGGTGTCATTCCCTTTTCAGATACATTATGTTCAAATATTTTCTTACATTTGGTAGGGTGTCTTGTTGCTATGCAGAAGCTTTTTAGTTTCATGTAGTTCCATTTTATATATATATATATATATATTTTTTTCCCCCTTGCTGTTAGAGACAAATCCACAAAGACCACGATGTCTGTATTTAAAGCAGATCAGAGTGGGTCTAATGATAATCATAGTTTTGCTACTTAAAAAGCTGTCCATTAATATCCCTGCATCCTTCTTTAGTACTCTGTCTGCTTTTGCATTAGAAAGATTGAGTGGAGAGAGGAGAGGAAAGGAAGGACAAATGACTCAATAGAGAAAATAGAAGTGGGTGGGCCAAAAGAATCATTCCTGTTCATTACTCCATAAAGTTTTGCTGAAACTAAATTTGCCAGACATGATCCTGAAATAGTAGAACTTCTCCATAAACTGTTAAGAGGTAAAAGGAATTTGAGTAGATACTTCAGTACCTGCTGTTGCCTGGTACCATGCTTACCTTACAAAAACCTTTTGAGGAGGATCTAGATTGGCACTGCCTACCTAACTCTGGAAATGTAACAATGAACAAAGGCCGTATCCTCACGGACATTCTAGTGGGGATAGATAGCAAATAAGAAAACAGATAAGGGGAATGTTTTCAGATCATCAGTGCTATGAAGGAAAATAAAATATCATGGAATAAAAAGTAACTTGGAAAGGGATATTGTTTTGGGCAGATTAATTAGAAAAAGAATGGTTGCATCTAAGCAAAAACCAGAATATCTAAGGCATGCAGATATGTGAAGCAGCACTGTTTCACACAGATGAAGTGTAATAGAGTGGGGTGGGGGTGGGGGGGATTGGGACTGGGGGAGGAAGGGACGGGAGAGGACCTTGTAGTGTTCAAGGAACAGCAGAAAGACTAGTGTGGCCTCAACAAACTGAGCAAAAGGAAAAGCTGTGAGACATAAGAGATGATGAGGGACCAGGGTAGACCCAAAAACCATGTCAGGGACAATGAAATTTGTACTAAATGTGATGCAAAGCCATTGGATGTGGCTGCTTTACAGATTTCAGTGTGACTGCTGTCTGGGAAACAGACTGTAAGGACCTCCAGTAGAAAACAGACTCCAGCTGGGAGGGTCTCTACCAAGGATATTTCTGGCTTTTGAGAAAAGATTCTCAAGAGATTCTAATGTGCATTCAGGGTTAGGAAATGCTGGTTTACATTCAAGAGAAAAGAATTTGATTTAAAACATCGTGCTGCTTCTCCAAAAAGAAAAGCCTATTAAAAGCAAAAGCATTTTTGGATATGTCCTTTCTTATCACTGAAGTAACAATTTTAATATATCTTGTGTGAATTTTTTAAAACCCTTGGGTTTCTTGATTTGGGGTTGTTTGTTTTTAATTTATGTATTTGTTTTCTCTCTCCTTCACCAACCCCCTAATCCTTCTGTTATTCCTACACAGGAACTTGGAAAATCCTGGGAAGAAATTCAATTGGAAGATGATCGGGAGTTGCTCGATCAGCAGGAAGAGTAAGACCTATTATTGCTGCTAATTAAGTATAATGTTTTAAGAACAAGAAAACAGCTCTTTAGTTAGGTTTAAAATTATCATTCTGAAGAGATAGAATAAAAAGAAAGAAGGCCTTCTCTCTAAGCCATGAATCCTTACATGTAATGTACCAAAAACTCAAATTCAAAAATTGACATTGACATAAAAATCACAAAAGCAATTGTTATTCCATCTAAAGTGTCTTGTGATAAAGCTATTAATTGAACACACAGGTAATATAGAATTCAGAGAAAAATACAATCCCTAGTGCTTTGCTTAATAACTTGTTCCCCACACCTTGAAATGATGCCATCTTTGGACTCTGCATGTGGCTTTTCATTGTATGAGAGGATATAACTGAAGTTAACCTTCTGTTCATTCCATTGATGACTAACTTAAAACATTCATGACTACTTTTCTTGAAATTATAAATCTGAGAAGTGTTCTTTTTAGTCTAAAAATTTCCCTGTTCTCCACTCTTCATTCAAAGCTGTTCGGACTTTTTTTTTTCTTCTGGTATTTTGATTTTTCTGGTATAGGAATGACAAGAAATTCACAATATGTACCTATACATATATATATATATATATATATATATATATATATATATATATATAAATGCAAGAAGGGGAGAAAACAGTAAAAAGGATCTTACATGCTTTCTGGAGTCTGTCTACCATCAGATTTAACAATTGCCCCATTTAAAATGATCAGTATTTCCTACATGAGATATATATATATATATACAATTTGCCATTTTAAGATATACCATTTGTCATGCAGAAACATACTCCCAGTATCACACCTCACAGCATGTGTGCTTACTGGTTGTGGTTAATGAGAGAGCGCATCACATTTCCTGATATGTTTCCTTGCAAATTAAAACTAGTTGTCTCTGAAAGACATTGCACTGATCTTATGGTGAAAGAGCTGCTCAGAACAGGCAAATATGAGAAAATGAAGCAGCACCTGTTCACTGTTTATATTAATTTCATGGTGCTGCTTTGAATTTCAAAAACTGTATCAAAAAGTCATAATAGAATGTGACAATCTTTACAAAAATGTCAAGAGTTAAAAGAGATTGGCAGGGTTTCCTAGAGAAAAAAAAGGTAATACCAAGTCACTATGTAGTACACCCTCTTGATGAAGGCAATTGCCATACTTCCTATTTCATTTTTAACATAGTGACTGGTCTGATTGGGAAGAACACCCTGTCTCTGCTGTCTGCCTTTTTTGTGAAAAGCAAGAAGAAACAATGGAGAAATTATGTGTGCACATGGAGGTGAGATACTTTTTATTCATTTGAATTTTGTTTTGTTCTTTAAAGGGAAGCTGATACCTTTATTTTCTCAATCATTATGCCCTTCTTAAAAGTACTATAAACTAAACAGAGGTCCATGAAGGAGAACCAGAACACAGAGTAATTTAGTTCATGCAATCAACTAGATGTACATGAGCTTTAGTGTTAAATTTTGCAGGCCATTGGTACCATCCCACTTTTAAGATGCTTATAAGACAATTGTAGTTTAGAATGTGGGACTTGCAACCACCGTTAACGATGCCCAGATAATGAACAGGCTCTTAGTCTTTTTCCTTTACTTCTGTGCTGATGAGTGAGGTGAGCAAGAAGAGAGAAATCTGGCATTCACAAAGCCCTTGGTGGGTATTAGGGGAGATGGAGGCAGAGGCAGTGTAGGGTTTGGTCTTGCAGCCCTTCTCCGCAGTCTGTGTGAGAGGTTACACACTCCCTATACCTCTGATCCTCATCTGGGTGGTAGAGGTATGGAAGGGGGAAGATCTAATGATGCATGACAATATTGCAGCTTGGGGTACAGGAGTGATTATAATAGAAAAATGTTACTCGGTGTTTCTAATATGCTCTCCCTGCCAATAGTATAACTGACTCTTTTGTCCACCTTTCCTTCAATCTCATTCAGAAACAGTCTTCTTAGTTGAGTAAAATAAGAATCCAGAAAGTATTAAAAAGGTCGTGCTCATTTGCTCTCATGAAAGCAGAGAATCAGTGTCTCTAAAACAGATTATCAGCAGTATGTGTGTGTAGTTTCCACTGTTTACATTCAATTCATAATACCCTAAATCTTTGCACTGAAAAGAACATTAGTACCCCACCCCTGTGAAGGGATTCCCCTTGCAGCATCCTTGATTGGTGTCCTCAGCTTATGCTCAGTCGTGTTCAGTAGTAATTTGCGGTGGAATTCCTAACTGTCCTAACTGTGGACTACACGAGCTGCCTTTGCAAGTACTTAGATGGTCTTTATTCTCTGTAAGGCTTTTAAATTAATACATTTACTCAAATGGACAATTGCAATACTAGAACAGAAAAAAAAGAAGTCTGAATTGTAAAACTCAAAAGAAATGTGATTTATGGGAAAATGTGAATGAGAGAAACTTGTGCATTTAAACAGTATATGTGACAGTGTAAAATGAAAAGCAGAATTTATAAAATTACCTATCTGCTTATGGAAAATGAGACCTATATCCCTAATTCTGGTCCAGACACACGATAGAGCAGGGCCACATCTTACCTAGGGCCTGAAGATACTTTAGTCAGACTGCAGAATGCATATAATAGATTATAAAAATTATGGATACAAGCTGTGAATAATTCAAATGTTTTAACTGATTTGACTTGTTTGGACTGTGTTAAGAGGCAATTGGATATAAAGGGAAGTAGTTAGATTTTGAAAACTTCGAAGACAGAAAATGATGAAATGAGATTTAATTTCTACAGTGTTCAAATTTCTGTGGAGTTTGTAACTTTAGCCTGAAGCATTAAATAATTTATATGTTCACAGATATATTCATTCCTCTTTTTAGGATGCACACGAATTTGATCTCCTCAAAATAAAGTCAGAACTTGGTAAGTTTGACTTGGCGGTGTTTTTCCATGCTGCGGTGTTCTTTACACACCACCCTGAAAGTGGTACTACGTTCTGCAGTTGCAATTGGGGAGCACACAGCCAAAATGCTTCTCTCCACAGATGGTCTTCACAGAGAGGCCCAAAACAGTAGCTTGTAATCATCTCGAACTGTAATATTCAAATATGTTTTTTTATTTCATAGTCTTTCCTCCTCTTGCTATATATACAAAAGCTTCAATTAAAATTCCAGTTAATGGCTAATATCTATTTTTAAGTGGTGGGAGCTTGAGGGAAAAGTGTGGGTTTTGACATCAGATGAGAGCCATTATCACAGCTCCAGCGCCCACTGTGTGACCTTGGGCCTCAGGTCAGCAGAATGGTAGCAGGAAGGGAGAATGTATGTAAAACACCTCTGCACAGCGTGGCAGTGTAGCTAGCTTATTTATTATAGATGCACTCAATTGCATCATTCTCTGTGTCATTTTAATAAATTGGGTGCAGCAAGATGTAAAATACTGACTTACTAATGGATCCAAGACAGTAAAAAGCTCACTTCCTACACCTCAGCTCACTACACTTTGCTGCTTTTATAGACACGTATATGTATGTTTTGTACATAATTTGCTTAGTAGTCAACAGCATGGGCTCTGATGCCAACAGCCTGGTGTCAGAACCTGGCTCTTCCACTTACTAGTCATGCCACCTTGGGCAGTTTCCCAGTATTTAATGTGGATAATGTGGGTTTTGTGAGGATTAAAGGTATTAATACATGGAAGTTGATTAGAACTGTGCAAGCACAGATGCCCTATGTAAGTATTGGCTGTTATTATTTGGCATTCTCTCATTATGCATTTTAATTATACTACCTCTTTCAGGTTGGTTAATAAAGAAAAAAGGCCATTATTTTAAAAAAAAAAAATTTAGCAGCACAAAAATGAATCTTATCAGTTATCTAATAATTCCATTAACTCTCGCTTTCAGAATTAAATTTCTATCAGCAAGTAAAGCTGGTCAATTTCATTCGAAGGCAGATTCACCAATGTAGATGTTATGGCTGCCATGTGAAGTTCAAATCCAAAAGAGACTTAAGGATTCACATGGAAGAAGCCAAACATACATCGCTGCTTCCTGAAAGACAAACTTGGGATCAGCCACAGTGAGTTCTACTCAACCAGACGTCCTTTCTTTGCCCCATCTGCTTTATTTTGAACCTTTATTCGATTTGTCTAAAACTTGAATAAAAAAGAAGTGCATATTTATCATAAAAAGTAAAAATCTTCAAAAACCTTATTTTTAAAGTAATACCCCTCTTACAAATGTTAACAACTATTTCAGATTTTGTGGTGTGGAGACAGATGCAATAGATATAAAAATATAGATTTTTTAATTAATGTTTTAACAAAATATTGTGAGCATCTTTCCATATCTAGTACACATTTTTGCATTTTTAATGGCTGCCAAGTAGCCCAATGGTACAGATAAATCCTAATTTGTTAGATATTTAGGTTGTTTCTTATTTTCTGCTCTTACAAATGATGTAGTAACTATTCATTTGTCTGCAAATTTGCACACATATCTAATTGTTTCATTTAGATAAACTCCTAAAAATGAAATTGTTGTGTCAAGTATGCAACTATTGGGGTTCTCAGTATTTCTTTCACATCTGAGCACTTTACAGAAATTTTGCAGGTGCTCAGTGGTATGTAAATGTGAAGTCTTGTCAGACTCCTAGGTATCCTTTGCCAGTCCAGCCTTAGCTGGACTGGTTCTCACATAGCTCTGGATAACCTCAGTTGAAGGAACCTCAAAAAGGCTAAAGTCTAATGACCCAGAGATTCCTTAGAAAATCCCAGATTTGTGAGAGATAAAATCAGCCCTGTATTGACCTGATACCCTTTTCCTATAATTCTTTGTCCAGAAAAGGAAACAGAAAAAAACAGACTTAAAATTCAGTAGATGGCATGAGTTTATCTTTTTTGATTGCTGCATGGATGGAGCTGGAAGGGATCATGCTCAGGGAAATAAGCCAGAAAGAAAGAAAAAAAAATACTAATTATAATAAAGTGAAAATCAAAATCAACAGGCAACTATAAACTAGAGACACACGACAGGAGGGCGAGAAGGGAGCAGGATCAAAACAAGGGGGTAAGAATTTTACAGGGACGATAACCAAGATGTAAATGCATACATTGTACAAAAATGAAAAATGATGTAAGAAATATATAAAATAAACTTTTAAAATATTCAGTAGATGTTTAAAATTTTGACCACCCAGAATGAAGAAACCAGTAATGATCAGGTTGGAAAACCAAACACGAGAGAAAACAATTATTTTATTTTTTTTAATATTTTATTTTATATAATTCTTACATCATTTTTCATCTTTGCACAATGTATGCATTTTCATTTTGGTTATATTCCCCATACAATTGCACCCCCCCCCTTATTTTGACTCTAATCCTTCCTCTCCCACTGCTCCCTCCCCCCAACCCTGTAGTGTCTCTCTGGTTTATAGTTGCTTGTTGATATTGATTTTTACTTTGTATTGATTAGTCTTTTTCCTGGTCTCTTATTTAGGTTTTCTAAATTCCTGCTATGAGTGAGACCATGCGGTATTTTTCTTTTTCTTTCTGACTTATTTCGCTGAGCATGATCCCTTCTAGCTCCATCCATGTTGCTGCAAACTGCATGTGTTTATCTTTTTTGATTGCCGAGTAATATTCCATGGTGTATATGTACCACTTCTTCTTGATCCAGTCATCTATTTTTCAGCATTTGGGCTGTTTCCGTAGCTTAGCTATTGTAAATAGTGCTGCTATAAACATAGGCGTGCAGGTGCCCTTTGGAATTAATGAAAACAATTATTTTAAAACAATAATTTTCATCAGGTATTTGAAGATTAGTGTATGAAAGAGTATCTGTATTTGAACATTGTAACTTATGAAGCAGAACTGGAGTGAGCCTATGAGAAAAAAATGAAAGGAATGTCATTTCATTCATGACCAACTAGGAAGGATACTAGATTCACTAAAACTGATATTAGCCAATAAAGACCAAAATAAAAATAAAGCAGAAATCTCATTCCTTCTAGACTTTGCAAAATATTGTTGAAATTTTCAGTAAAGAAACCAGCAGAATTATGATAATGTGTACAATTCAGCTGCCTAGAAATTTTCTGGAAATGTATTAGTTTGGTAATTCAGTATGTCTGTGATTGTTTTCAGGTATTATTTTCCAACCTATGAAAATGACACTCTCCTGTGTACCCTGTCTGATAGTGAAAGTGATCTGACAGCACAGGAACAAAATGGAAATATTGCCATCATCAGTGAAGACACATCTAAACTGTGTGCTTTGAAACAAAGCAGTATTTTGAATCGGTTGCTTCTACATGAGCGCTTAAAAAACTAGAAGGAACTGACACAGAACCAACTTTCCTCGCTTTTCTCCTCTAAGGCAGACATGAAGTATAGTTTAAATCTGAACATCAGCAAAGTCCTTGGTGCAGTGAACTTTTTCAAAAAATGAATGTTATTTTCAAAAATTAAGTAGAAAAATAAAATGTGACTTTTTGTATTTTGACTCTAAAGTTTTATTATGAAATCATTGTACTTGAGCTCTTTTCATTATATTCATAATTATCTGTAATAAGGACAATGCTCAAATCACAAGAAATGAATGTTCAAATCATTCAGAAACCTAATTTTATCCAGTGGTTTCAGTCTCTTCCTACATACTTTTCCATCTAACAAATCACAGAATTTGACCTATGAGTGCCTTCTCTAGTACATGGTAAGCTATGTATGTAATGACCAAAAGTGGAACCACGGAAGAGAGGAAAAATTATTTGAGACCTATATAATGCACAGATTCAACCCCATTTCAGAGTAATCAAGATTGACTGTATTCTCACGACTGCCTGGAATTAGCAAACTCCCTGGAAATAGACATCAGGCCATATAACTTTATTTCTTCTACAATGTATTTATCACTAATACATAAGCATCCTTTTAAAAAACATAACCTCAATACCATTATGACACCTAACAAAATTAACAATAACTTCTTAATATCCTATGTTTTCATTCTTCCTTAGTTGTCCCAAAAATGTCTTTTTTGTAATTTTATTGGCTGTAAGACAAGTATTGTATGCCTGATAAGACATAATAAGGAGGACAAAATAATCACTTTTAGTAATGTATACAACTTGTATAATGTGAATATAATGAAGAAATATCATTCATACCCAAACTGAGAAACCCCTACTCTTCAGAAATCAAGACATAAAGACTGAAATATTGTTCCAGATTAAAGAAGACTAAAGAGAATTCAAAAATATCGAATGCTGGATTGAATCCTAGACCAAGGAAAAATTTTTTTCTTTTGCTATAAAAGAATTAGCTGAGGGCCTCCCCGGTGGCGCAGCGGTTGAGCGCTGGGTTGCGAAGCTGCCGTGGCCTCTGCGGCGCCGTTCGATCCCCGGCTGCTCCCCGGCCACCAGAGGAGGGTCCACATGGCGCGCAGACCTCTCCTGCCGCCCGCTGCTCCCTCAGCAGTGTACTTCGGTCCTTCTGCCTGCTCTGCTCCTGCTCTGGCTCTGGTGAATTCTCTCACCCTCCCGCGCTTCTGACTGTACCCAGTGCATGTATAAACAAACAAACAAACAAATAAATAAATAAAACATGCCTCTATTAAAAAAAAAAATTAAAAAAAAAAAAAAGAATTAGCTGAATAATTGGCAGAAATTTTTTTTTTTTTTTTTTTTTTTTTGGTGGGACCCTCGCCGGTGGCTGGGGAACGAACCAGCGCTGCAGAGGCTGCGGGCAGCCTCAACCGCAGTGCCAACCGCAGTGCCACCAGGGGAGGCCCAATTGGCAGAATTTTAATAACTTCTGTTATTGATGTTAGTTTCTGGTTTTGATTGGTCTTAGTTTCTGGGTTTTGATAATTGTACTACAGTTAGGTATGAGAATATCCTGTCTTTAGAAAATGCACAATGAAGTGTTTAGGAGTCATGAAAATTTGTTTGCAACTTACTCTGAAGAAACTTACATGGATATAGGGAGAGAAAATGATAAAGCCATGTTATAGATGTTAGTATTTGAAGCATCAAGGTGAAGGGTATGTGAGAATTCTTAATACTGTGGCAACTTTTCTGTAATTCTAAAATTGTTTCAAAATAAAAAGATTTTTAAGATGACTTATTTCAATTGGTTTGTTTAAATCAGATTTCAAATGAGATTCTATATTGCATGTGGTTCCTGTGGTCCTTAAAAATCTTAAAATTTATAATAGTTCATGCTCCTCTTTGTAAAATGACACTTACTTGTTAAAGAAGCTGGGTGTTTTGGATGCCTTTAGAGTCATTTAACATGTCTACTATCACTACTTTTCATGCAAATGACAGACCTAGAAGCTCCTTTAAATTTATGTTCAAAGATTTTTACAAGAATAATTCACAAGAGCTACTATGTGATTCCTGTTGCATCACATCAGGCACATATTTCTTGTGCCACTTTTGGGATGTGAGACTGATTCGTATATTCAGATATTGTCAATCTGCTGCATCAATATAGTTTCCCATCAGTATTTCATCTAACCATTTTCATAGCCATTGGTCATTGTTACCTAGATCTATTTTTTAGGGCTTACCAAAGATTTCCTTATGCGATCACTTTTTTACAAGTGGATTCTTTATAAACCTGTATGCTGGAGTCCTGGACTGTTCTAGTTTTCAGTTATGAAAGACAGTAGATAGGTGGTGCCCAAGACCAATCTTGAAGTGATAATTCCTGTCCAGAGTCTCAGCGGTAATCTCCAATCACAGGATCCAAAGTCAACTAGATTTGTCAACTATGTATCTCATCGTAGCTTTAGATTTCTAAGCCTCTGTTTGTACAGTCTTACTAGCCTTCTTGAAAATCAAGCAAAGAAACGGGGGCCCATTTGTAATGAAAAATGCCTAAGTTAAAGACAATTAAGTTAAATTTTTTTAAAACTTAAGATTAAGTTGTCTAGAATTCTCTGTCACTAGGAAACAGATTTGTTGGGGAAATCAAGGAATGTTTGGAGTGTTTCCTAGAATTTGCTTCAGTCTTAGAACTAAAGCATGAAAGGGAAGAATAGACTAGAAAACAACTTTATGAAGGAGAAAGAGGGTGGCTGGGTATACACCTTTGCAAGGAGAATTATGATCTTGTTTTCAGGTAGATAGGGCAGAGAACTCATATCTGTTTTTTCTCAATTGCCTTCAGCTCCAAAGTAATCTTTAGACTAGAATGGCATATTTTGGAGAGGCATATCCTGATCTCCTACAGTCTCATATGTCACCCTGAGGGAAGATCTGTTGATTCTTCCCACAGGAATGGTAAAAACATCTTGTCAACATTCACTTCTTGAGGGAAATTCCTCCCAGTCGAGTTTAACTTCATAGATCAAGGAATTCAGATAACTTACACAGATGGCCTAGCATCCTGGTGTAGCTGAAATCAAGACTCACTGAGTTTCTGTTATGGAAGTTCCAGCTTTCTGGGAGTATCATTTGTCTTGATAACTACTTGAAGATCTTGGTATTGATTTTTCTTTTGTTAAATTTTGTTAGTGTTAAGTGTTTTGATGATATACTTTAAAAAAGACATAAACCAGAAATTTGGTGTTCAACGTCTGAGAAGGCCCTCACACAAAGATGGAGGAGGCTGTAATGCTAAAGGATCCTGATAGTGACTGCTACAACTATAGAGGTTACAGTAACACAAAAGAGAAGGTGTCCTGTAAATAGCAGTCCTCTGCACATTGTTTAAAGTACGTATCATCTCACTTGACACTTTAAAGAATGTGAAATATCTGGACAGGAATATGTATCGTCATCAAGGGTAAAGAAGGATCAGAGAAACAAGATCAGAGGATAGGCGACTAAGAGAAAAAGCACAACAAAATCATATATGACAAAATAATATATGGGAAATTTAAATGAGAAAAAATCAAGTCCTGAATTTTTTAATGAATGGAGGAATGCTTTTTTTTTTTGCAAAATCAAACTTGAAAGAACAAGAATGAATTTTTAATATAAGTGCTTAGCTAAATTTGCATACAGAATTAACATATCAGTCCACTTATATAAAAGATTATCAAATTATATCTATTATTTGCTTATTCTACAAAAGTAGCCATCCTATATTCTTTAAGATTAATTCAACTATTTCAATGAGGTTTAGATGATGAATAGCAGGAGGAATAAACAGGAACTGAAGTTCAACTTTTATGTCTTATAATTGATATTTTGAAAAGCTAAACCATGTTCAATTCTGATGACAGCAATTTGCAAGATTGAATGGCATTGCAGGCATGTTAATTCAAAGTGAAAGCATTCAGCCTAAATTAATGTTATTTTGCAATGTTCTAAAAATTCAAGTGAAGCTGTGTCTTTCTCACTTATAAAATTAGAGTACAAAAAAAGATTTTTGAGGATATTCTCAGCTGATTTGGATGCAGAATGAGCAGTAAATAAACTCTTATAAAGTGAGTATTGTGATTTTGTGTTTTCATCATTGGAAAACATTAAAGAGCAAAGAATGCATTAGAGTATATTGTAAAAACTAAAAAAGAAGGGCCTCCCAATGGCGCAGCCGGTTGAGCACTGCTCTGTGAAGCTGTCTGCAGCCTCTGCAGCGTGGGTTCAATTCCCGGCGGGCCAGGGAGAAACCCACATGACACAGCCGACCTCTCCTGCCTCACCTGCTGCTCCCCTCAGCAGTGTCTTTGGTCCATCTACCTGTTCTGTTCCCGCTCTGTCTCTGGTGAATTCTCTCACCCTCCAGCATCTCTGACCTGTACCCAGTTCTTGTATAAGTAAATCTTTAAAAACAAAAAAGAAATTTAAGGAGATGTAGACAGTGAAAAACAGGAATGATTAATCTTTAGTCTCATAAAAGGGCGCCCATTCCAACGTTTCCATCATTGTCTACACAGATAAAGTCCAAAGCTTGGCATTTGCGACTTTCATAGTCTCGACACCAGACTACCTCCCACATCAGCCAATCCATCAGTAAGTCTAGCCATTGTCTTCAAAGTACTTCTAAGCCTCTACCATCACTGAGCTACTGCATTGTCTCCTAAATAGCCTCCTTCTTCCTTGCTGACCCCGCCTATCCTCATAGCAGCTAGGATGATTCAAAAATCTTTGCGATGCTATAATGAATTTCCCTGTTTATTTATTTATCATTCACTTCCCCTTTCTTCTTGTGCTAATAGCTTCCAATTTGTTTGGAGAGGAGACTGGGGAACCATTCTATCCTCACTAAAAACAGCCTTGCCATTTGAGATTGACTCCAGCCTCACCTTATGGGTGAGGATTGGGGAAACTGACAAATAAGAACTTTCCGGAGAGATTGGGTTATGCAATCCCTGCTCCTGTGACAAGCTGATCCAGTCAGAATGAACGTAAGAGTCTGAAATGGCTTAGGAAGGAGATTTCTCCCTTTCTTGTGAAAAAGAAACTAGCCCAGGGACTCTCGAGCAAAGTCAAGAGAATTTCTGA